TGTTTTTTTACAGAGAGGAAGGGAGAGGGATAGAGAGTTAGAAACATTGATGAGAGAGAAAGATCCATCAGCTGCCTCCTGCACGCCCCCCACTGGGGATGTGCCCACAACCAAGGTACATGCCCTTGCCCGGAATCGAACCTGGGACCCTTCAGTCTGCAGGCCGACGCTCTATCCACTGAGCCAAACCGGTTTGGCGAGTTCCATTTTTAAATTTTTGAGGAAACCCATACTGTTTTCCACAGTGGCTGCACCAGTATCCATTCCCACCAGCAGTGCACCATGGTTCCTTTTTCTCCACATCCTCGCCAGCATTTGTCATTTGTTGATTTTTTTGTTGGTAGCCATTTCAGGTGTGAGATGATACCTCATTGTCATCTCTCGGATGATTAGTGACTTTGAGCATGTTTTCATATGTCTATGGTTCTTTATGTCCACTTCCGAAAAGTGTCTATTTAGGTCTTTTGCCCCCTTTTGCATTTCTTGTAATGCTGGCTTGGTGGTGATGTACACCTTTAGCCTTTTTTTTTTTTTTTTTTTTTTTTTTTTTTTGGTCTGGGGAGCTCTTTATTTGACCATTGATTTTGAATGATAGCTTTAATGGATATAGTAATCTTGGTTTCAGATGCTTGCTTTCCATTACCTTGAGTCCTTCATGTCATTCCCATCTAGCCTGTGGAGTTTCTTATGAGAAATCAGGTGTCAGCCTTGTGGGAACTCCTTTATAGTTAACAGTTTGCTTTTCTCTTGCCTTTAAGATTCTCTTTGTCTTTAAGTCTTGGCAATTTAATTATGTGTCTGGGCGTGGGCCTTTTTGGGTTCTTCTTGCTTTAGTTCTCTGTGCCTCCTGAACTTGTGTGACTTTTTCCTTTTCCAGGTTAGGGAAGTTTTCTGCATTATTTCTTCAAACATGTTCTATATCCATTTCTTCCTTTCTGCCTCTTCTGGCAGCTATTCTAATATTGTTACATTTCACTTTGTCCCACAGCTCACTTAAGCTATCCTCCTGTTTTTGTTTTAATATATTTTATTGACTTTAGAGAGGAAGGTAGAGGGAGAGAGAGATAGAAACATCAATGATGAGAGAGAATCATGGATCGGCTGCCTCCCACAAGTCCTCCACTGGGCATCGAGCCCACAACTTGGGCATGTGCTCTTAACCGGAATCGAACCTGGGACACTTTATTTCATAGGCTGACGCTCTGTCCACTGAGCCAAACTGGCTAGGGCAATCCTCCTGTTTTTTAATCATTTTTTCTTTTCTGATTGAGTGATATATTCAATTCTGTCTTCTAATTCACTGATTCGATCCTCAGTTTCCCTTAATCTGCTGTCTATTCCTTCCAATGTTCTTTATTTGTGTTATGCCATTCTTTATTGCCAACTGTCTTTTTTTCAGTTACTATATCTTTTTTCATGTTGTTGAGCATCTTTATCTTCATACTCTGAGCTCTGTTACAGATACATTTCTTATTTCTGCTTCATTTATCCCTTTTTCTGGAGAATTCTCTTGTTCTTTCATTTGGGGGTTGTTTCTTTGTCTCCTCATTTTAGCTATTTGTGACTATGTACTAGGTAGATACTCTACACCTCTCAATTTGTGGTGCAGGACAGTGTTAAATGTTGTTTTTGACTAATTAGATCAGGCAAAGACTCATTCTCCAGAGACAGCTTGTACCTACAGAAAGATAGGATTTGGACTTGACTTGTGGCCCCAGGCAGTGGTCCTGAGGTATGGTGAGAATTTTTCAACGTGGTAGGGCAGTTGCTTCTGCCTGGAGGGTAACTGTTTTGTTTTATTTTTAATTTTTTTAGTTTCTTAAGTGGCCTCAGGGCAAGGTATTTTCCAATAGGGAATGTCCACTGTCTTCCCCCGAAACAAGGCAAATTTCTGTGTGGGACAGATGTCCTCTGCTGTGTGAGGGAATGACTCACCCCAGGAAACTGGAGATTTCTGCCTTCTGAGCTCTACCCTCTGAGTCCCCAATCCTGGCTTCTGCTCACACAGCTCCAGTCCACTCCACTCTCCCTCTGCCAGAGCACAAGGTGGGTGGCTCCACAGGGAATTTTTTGCATTGACCCTTTCAAGGGTGGCTTAATTTTCAGTTGTGCTCTGTACTAGGGGGTCCATCTTGGGGATTAGGTCCCAGAGTTCTCTGTGGCAACCCGCCATAGCTGAGATATCTCTGCGGAACTTCAGTTGTTGTCTTCAGTTGCATGGCTGAGCCTGTTGTGCCTCACTTCTATGTACCAGAGTGGGCAGTTTCATGCATTTCTAGGCAATTGGCAGGGAGAGTATGGTATTGTGCCCACTTTATTTTTTTTTAATTAAATCTTTATTGCTCAGATTATTACATTTGTTCCTCTTTTTCCCCCCCATAACTCCCCTCCACCGAGTTCCCACCCCACCCTCCGCC